ACCAACACAGCAAAAATCAAAAGTAACTTCAAAACCTTAAGGTTTGACAGCTACATATTGAACACTAAAAATCAATTTCTGCTTATTATGTTATAAATCAGAAGAGGTAGAGACACACTCATGCTTTAGTCCAAAAGGAGGATGCATCAAAGCCCACAGCAACCAACCAAGGAATATGGTCCTGCTCTGTGGCCTAAGGAACTTGTAGGATTGGCACTAAAAAGAACTGAAGGTGCAGAGTGTGTGTTTGGCACATGGAAGAAAATGGACTCTTTTGGTGGCTTCTCTAATAGGGACAAACAGATGAGCAGCTCACAGGCAAGGTCTGGGTGTTGGTTGGTTCCTGTATAAATAAATAAGGTACTGTGGTGTTTATAGTAAATTCATCCTCAGTCTCAATTTCTCTTCCTAAAACTCTCTATCTGAATTCTCCAGTAACCTAAATTCCTTGACACAATGGCCCTTTTCATGGCTATTTAAAGCTCCACAGTGATAAATGCTCTCAACAGTTAAAAGTTACTAAAAATGTTAAAAGTTACTAAAAATGATATATTGTTGAAGATGCTCATATGCTACATCCTTATGCCTTGACAGAAAAGAGAGAACCTGGCAAGAATAAGTGACTTGTTAGAGGTTAGAAACATTGTGTCATCCAGATCATTCCACCATGACCTCATTTCTGCCTCTGAGCAACAGTTCTTCTGGCTTCAACTTCCCCACATCCCAGCTGCCCCCTACTCTATCCTCCAGCCCATCATTGAGGACATATCATGTTCTTTGCTCCTTGGTGCCTCATCTCTACTCTTATTTCACAGAGGTGGCCTCCACTTTACAAACTGGATTCATTTGCAAAAAATGCTTTAGTCAAGTCCCAGAAGGGCTTGTAGGGACCTGGGCTCCAGGAAACTACTCTTTATGTACCTGTATCAGCTCTTGGGAGATCCCCAATTCTCCACATCCCATCTTTTAGAAATCTAGGGCTCTTTCAGCTTGTGGAAATGACCTCTCTCACTTCCCATCACCATTGGGCTCAAATTGATCCAGGTAAACAAAAGAGGCAGGGTGGCCAGGTTGATTTTCAACATCTTTCTTCAAGATTACCCTTTATTTACTCCACTAAGACCAAGATTGCTTCCTCTACCCTGCCTATAGCTGGGACTCATTTGCATACAACCAGTTCTCTAGGGTTTTGATTATAAGTCTTGATTCTCTATCCATCTGTTTCTTCATCCATGACTTCACAATCTTACTATACTCTTTAGGGAACAGAACTGTATCATCTGAGTGGATAGGAATGTCTCTATCAGATGTGGAGACATTGGCCAGGCAGAGGTTCACATAGATCCCAGTATCTTCTTTGAAAACCAAACTTGCTCTGTATTCTTGGGCTTCTCAGTCATCTCTGAAAGCCAGAGGTGGCAGCATGAACTTCCCTTTGAGGCACAGGAAGAGGATAATGAGAGTGATCATTGGAGGACCAGAAATTGGCAAAAATGTGTGTAATCAGGAAAGGTAAAATGGGGCAAAGGGATCTTCAAAGGAGACATAACCTAAACTTTCCGCCTGATAGAGGAGACAGGTATTCCAGGAGAGTATTGAAAGTCTGCTTCCCTGTTTTTTAATTCAAAATACTAATTTCTTTTCAGAATTTGCTATGTTCCAGAAATATTTTTAGGTGTTGAGTATGAATATTTCAAGGAAATAATGCAGACCAAAACCACCCATTTAAAGCCATTTGAACTTTATGAGAGATCTGGTTGGGAAAAGAAAAAAAAATGCATTTGCAGAGGTCCACTGATTCACATGAATCATTCTCACTAGAGTAAATTAAAACTTATAGTTAGATATATCCTTGTCTGATTCTTTGCTTAAAGGATATATTGCTTTGTTGGGCAAGTTTCATGTCTTAAAAAGGTGTCATCCACAGGGCCTTTTCTCCCCCCATTCTGTCCTCAATACCTCATCTTTGAGTGACTCTGACAATTAATTCTTCTTCTTTTATATAGTGAGGGTGTACAGAATTCACACAAATGTATACGGAGTCACCACCCTAAACCAGGGTCTTAAGTCCAGGCACTGTAAGCTTCCTCTGTCTTTCTCAGAATGTTCTATTTGATCCCTTCTCATTCTTATCAAATTTACCTCTCAGTGCACCTCTCTTGTATTATTGAATCCATCACATATAAACTACATAACCTTCCCCCATATCTTGTCACTTGTAGCATTTTCCTCCTTTTTTCATTTAAATTAAATATATTTCAACTGATGCCCCAAACATAAATAATATATCTATTAATGGAGTAAATAGATTTATTGATGCTTGTGTACATTGTGTTATCTTGTTTGTTCAAACACTGTTTATTTCCTTCTGTGAAAATTTTCAATATGTTCTCTTCTTGCTTTTTTGAAATGTTTCTTATTGTTATCTGCAGTCACCCAACTATGCAACACTGCACCAGAACTTCTTGTTCCTATCTAAGTAAAACCTATAAGTGATTGATCAGTCTGTAGTCTTACATTTCTAACCCCTACACTTTCCATCCTATAGTAATCACAATTCTAGTTTAAACTTCTAAACTTTTATTAGATCAACTCTTTCAGATTTGACTTATAATGAGATTACTAGACCCTTGTCCTTCGTGGCTTGAGTTATTTCACTTAACCTAGTGATTTTTAGGTCAAGGTTTTCATTCCTTTTTTTCTTATTCTTCTTCTTCCTCTTCTTTTTTTTTTTTTGGCTGAAGAGTATTCCATTATGCAAATGTACTTCATTGTATCCATTTGTTAGGTGTTGGACACAGATTGTTTCTGCATCTTAGCTACTGTCAGTAGTGCTGCCATATACATGGGAATACAGATGTCTCTTCAATATCTTGATTTCATTTCCTTTGAATGTATGCTCAGCAGTGGATTTCTGTATTGTAAGATAATTTGGGGAGGGGCTGTCTGATAATGACTTAATGTATTTGTATTTCCTTTGTTTGTAAAGTACAGCTTTGCTGTGTTCTATATTTTTGATTGACAGATTTTTTTTCTTCAGTTCTATGAAAATCTCATAGCACTCACTTCTGGTCTACATGATTCCTATTGGGAAGTTCACTATCAGGTGAATAAGCTCACCCTTATGTGTTCTTTGTTTTTTTTTTTTTTTTTTTTTTTTTTTTCTCTTGATTCCTTGAGAATCTTTAGCTTTCATCCCTGAGAACGCTATTATAATATGTAATGATAAGAGTTCAAAGTTTACAGGTCAATTCTGGACTTTTCACCCTCAAGCAGAGACTTAAGTCTCTCCATAGTGTGCTGCCTGGTGCTTTGGGAAGCAATAAGGAGGGTGGTCCTGTGGCCACAAATGCTGCAATGCTATGTCACACTCTGAGGCCACAGCCTGCCAAGGCAACACAGAACTGGGGAGGGACCAAGGCCCTCAATGCTATGAACTGCCTATTGGTGAAGTGGACTTATGGCCCAAGACTCTTACAACCAGCCACAGGCTCTTTTTGAGTCTGTCCCACCGCACACAGATCTTGCTCTCTTTATGAGCTCTGTCCCACCTTTGAGGACTGTAATCCCTACTGAGTGCTGAGTATCACCATGGTGGGCCCAGCATTTTGCTCTAAAACAAAATCCTGTTTCTGCTCTTGTGTCCTGCTCCTTAGCAAGTCAAGTCTTGATTTTCCTTCTGTCAAGATAGCTTGGAGGAGTGGTGGTGGAGATAGTCTCTTTGCTGCCCAACTAAACACAGTTCCAGAGTCTCCATCTGAGGTTACTGACATGGGAAGAAGGATTGTTGGGCTCTACTGGGCACCAGCTTAGTTCTGAGTTTCAAGTCTAAGGCCTGGACGCAAATACCTTTGCATTTCCCAACAAGGGTGCATCTTCCTTCATGCTGGGCTTCTTGGATTAAGGGAAAGGGCAACTCTTATTTTCCTTTCTCCTTCTCCTTTTCTTTTTATTATCAAAAAAGCAGGCACTTGGGCTGGCACTTGGGCTAGTGTTGTATCTCAGTGGTGGAGCACTTGCTCGTACATGTGAGGCACTGGGTTCCATCCTCAGCACCACATAAAAGTAAATAACTAAAATAAAGGTATTATGTACATCTACAACTAAAAAAAATATTTTTAAAAAAGCAGGCTTTTACCTGGGACCTTTTATTTTAAAACAGCTTGATTATTTTCTCATATCAAGCCATTTTGTGTGTGTTTATGTGGTGCATTTGTGGTAGATCACTGAATAAACACCTTGATCTTGAGTCATAAACTACATAATGTCTTACCATAATAAATATACATTAATATTTTATTGCTTCCTACATTGATCTGGGAGCACAGTGTTTAATTCACCTCCCAAGATGAGTTATACAGAAGTTGCTTAAAAAAAAGAAATGCAGAGAGATTCTACTGTAGTAGAGAAAGGAGAAATTATGAATCAGGGCATTTCACTCACTGTTCTCTGGCCCTTCCTGCCAATGAACTGATAATTCTGATGTCTAAATCTGGAAAGCAGAATTGCAACTTTCCCGAAATCCATAAACTCCCCTGTGATGTGTTTAATCCCATCCCTGTGTCCATACACGTACCAACCCAGTGCAAAAATACTTCTGACTATACATATACAAACACTGAATTCAACTGAGAAAAGTAGGGCCTCATTCTTGACTGTCCTTTGAAAAGTGCTGCAAACAGAGTATGTGTGCTAATTTTGTATGTAATCCTAAAAAATAGTAAACTGGAGAAAAAAATTATGAAGATTGATTTTAAATTGAAATACTCTACAGAAAAATCTTTTCAAGTAAGAGAGTTGAGAAGGGAAAGGACAATAGTAGAGATTTACAGGACAGGAATAAATGAAGATCATCATCCACTGCTATCCCTGAATCCACTGATTCAGGGAAGGACATGCTACTCCTCTGCAGACAATTCATCCTTTATTCTCCCAGGGATCAGATACTACTTCCTGGAACTTTCCATTCTCTTAGGTAGTGGAGAATGCACTGACCATACCTGAACAGATGACTCCTGCATCTTTAGAGTGCCTGCAGTTGTTCTCTCCCTGGCTCAGGATAGGACACTTCCACAGGTAATCCTCCTCTCCTGTGCATGCCAGGTCTGTCAACCAGATGGGCCCAGATCCCTCTCCAAATTGTGCATAGAGCAAGGCATTGAAGGCCATTCCACAGCCCATTTGTCTGCACACCACATCTGCATCTTTCAAGCCCCAGTTGTTATGACAGACAGTGCCCCAGGAATGCTGGTGAAGGATCTCCACTCTGCTTGTACACCGACTGCCACCATCCACCAGGCGGAGCTGTGGGCTCTCTGAGGAGAAAGAATCATGTCAATGATGTCACGTATTAACAAAGAATGAGAAGGGTTCTACTGCCATGTGGTACACCTTCTCTCAACAAAGCACTTGGAGAATCTACTTTCAGAATGCAATGCTTGTGGTGTAAAACATGGAGTTATTCATTATACTAGGGCAGCAGCACTTGCCTCACACATGTGAGGCACTGGGTTCCATCCTTAGTTTCTACCATCACATGTATGGGAATTAATTGTGAAAAAATAAGAAATAGGGAATTAACTACAATGTATTCAAGTGAGTAGTCTGAGTAGAAGTTATTATGTAGATTTGATCAGAATAAAACTTGTTATTGATAGAGTTCTGCATATTATGTGATAAAACTTTGAGAAATGCCAGATTTCCTACTTTAAGTAGCCGAATGTGTCTTTTCTGAATGATTTCTAAGAGTTTCTGTAATGGGCCAGTATCTGAATTGGCTTCTTGAAGACATATGCTTGAGAATCCATGGCCTTAGATTGGAAGGGTCAGAGCACAGGAGATGGAATAAGAAATGGGACGAGATCATCAGAAGCCTCAGGTGACAGTCATGATTCCAGTAAAAAAAAATGTAATATATATACATTAAGACTAAAAAATAAATGGATCATAAGACAAAGCATAGTTAATGCAATATATTTCATTAATGGTTCTAGCCTTCATAGTTCAAATATGGGTATGTAATTTTAAATTTGCATTTGCTTTAGGTAGATTGGGCAACCTCCCTGAATAGATGATGTCAGATATTGACATTGCCCAAATGACACTAGGAATGATGGAATGCTACTTGTTCCTCCAAATATATCTAATCTCTGCTTGGACTTCCTGCCAGGAGTTCTTGATGAGGAGTCAAATAGCAGAACAGAAGTACACTTTTTATGACTATGTGAGTGAAAAGAGTCAGGGAACACAAGGAAACTGTATTCTGAGAAAGAGGAAAAACACTGGGAACCAATAAAGAAATGACAAGAAATGTTAATGATATGGAGAATCATTAAGGCAGCCCAGAGAAAAGTATAAAGCAATTTACAACTTCAACTCCAGCTGTAACCATGTAATGGATAACCATGGGAGAAACACATGGTTCTTACAAGTTTTAGAACAAGTTTGGGGAGATGTTCTGAGAGGGACTCCTCTTGCACAACAAGACAGTTTTAGAGAAGGAGTCCATCATATTGCTCAGCAAGCTCTCAGAGTACTATAACCCGGGGTTATCTTGACAAGGGTCCTATTGTAGGGGATAAATTATACTGGGATTATAAAATATGAATTAATCATAATTCCAGGTCCCTGGGTCACCCTCCACAGTGATTGTGTGAAGGAAGAAAACCTACAGTCTCAGATAGAAAGACTGACTTCCACAAACACACTGACCTAGTGGCACAGAAGGGCCTAGAGGCCTCACTGACAAATGGTCTTTCTCTACGTGAGGAGAAGTGATTCCAGTCTCATGTGGTTTCACATGCAAGTAATATCTGAGAGCTAAGAGACCACAACTGGTGATTAACCCCATTCCCATGACCCATCTCCAGAGTGGAGCTCAGTGGTTTGATAGCATACACCAGTTTTTACAGGCATTCCAGGGATTCACCATGGCTAGAACAATGCAATCAAGATCTCAGTATTGTGTGCCCACCAGTTGGGTCCAGAATCCATTGAAGAAAGGGCTTGTGGTGACTTTGACTTTTGCCATGCACCCAGATTTGCAAATAGAATTTGTCCAGCATGAATATGGCCTGCCCCATCAATATTCCCATAACTTCCATGGCAGGAAATGAGGAGCTCAGTGCAGCCAGCATATCACACCATATCCTTGTTCATTTTGATGGGAACTCAAAGGAACTATGATTGGTTTCATTTTTAGGCAACCAGCCCTACATTCCTGGTGGATTCAAACATTAAATGACCATGAAAGGGTTGTCTACATGCAAATATTTTGTCTGGGAGGAATTTTTTTATGAATTTTCATATATATATATATATATACTGCTCTGTATTTAATGCATTTTTAAATTCTTTAAATGGATTTTCTCTTCTTTCTCATCTTTTCTTAACATAATTAATAATGAATTAATTTCCTTTTATTAATCTACTTTCTCATTCTGTTTATTCTTTGCCTAATCTATTGTTACTATTTTAGTTGTTATTGAGTTTAATTGATTAATACTGTATTTATATAGCTGATTTATGCTTATGTGGTAGATACTGCTGTTTTTCACTTTCTTCTTTCTGAGTTATGATGTTGATCAAGCCAAGAAACTTGAACAGGTTGAATGTGCTTTGCCACTGAACTACACCACCAGACACTAGAATGAGGATGGTACCTTATTTTAGCCACAACCTAGCCCCGCACAAGCCATGGTGGATGTTATGGTTTGGATGACAGGTGTCCCCTGAAAGCTCTTGTTGGGACAATGCAAGAAATTTTAGAAGAGAAATGATTGGGTTATGAGTCTTAACCAAATCAGTGACTTAATCCCCTGGTGGGATTAACTAAGTGGTAATATTATTTTTGTCTTTGACTGACAGAGGAAACCACGGAGTTGAGTGTACTTGAAGCGGGAAGGATTATAATGGGGCATTATATTGAGTAATCAGGGTAAGAAAAGCGTGTGCATTCACGAAGAGAGTGGAAAACTGAAAAACTGATAGGGGAAAACATTTGGAATGTGCATGAGGATGAAATATCTGGGAAAGGAGCATCAAGAATATTTGCCACAAGGAGAAGTAGCAATAGTCAGAGAAGGAACAATGCAATCAATATCTCAAGCTGGACAGTTAGTGATGGTCAATAGTGTGGCCATAAAGCAGATGGGGGTATGAGGGATGCTTCAAAGGGAGAAAGTCAGGGATGGAGAGGCCAGGATGTTATCTCAGTTGTATTCAATTATGCTGGCAACAGAACAGGAGAAAGAGGAGCCTGGGGAGACTTGTACTGCAGCCTTCCTGGATAAGGGGGAGCAATCAGTCGGGAGAATGACACCAACAGAAGTGGTGGCACCAGCCACCTCAGGGAGCAAATTTCAAGTAGCTGGACAAGGGTTAAAAAAAGGAAAAGAAATTATTGAAAATGACAAAGTAAAGCAGGAATGGACTTATTCTAAGATTTGACTCAGAAATATCCCATTGAAAGGGAAGCACAGAGCCCTCCCAATAATAAGGACATCATTGTTCTCAGAGGACTGCCAGGTGTTTTTCAGAACATAAAACTAAATGGGACATTATAGGTCTTAAAATATTAGAAGATGATAGGCTCCAATTTCCAATGGGCCCCATGGAAGGTTTTCTGGGACAGGGATGAATGGGCATACTCGTTTACAGTAGGATATGGATAAAGGCTTAGAGGCAGTAGTATCAACCAAGACGACATGGCCTGAGAGGAGGTCAATTCAAGAGAAAAATAAGGGGAGACCAGGCCCCTTATTATACAGCAATTCTCCATAAAGTGCAGATGAGAAAATAAATTAACAGCTTTTCAACAGGATTTTTATGGGACCCATGCCTTGGGGAGGACTCTAGATTTTATTATGCATCCAGGTAATCATGTATCTCTCTTCCTACCCTCCTCCTTCTTTGCTCATGATGGGATTTTATCAGTACCTCAAGGTCACCATGCTCTTCTTACCTCAATATTTACACTGACCCAATGTTCTGCTTTCTTTCTGCATTGGACCTCTAGTTGTTCTTTAGGTTTCAACTTAAATATGATTTCTCTCTTCCTCAATGTACATATTTCCACAACACCTACACTACCTTCATGACACTCAGATTTATGCATGGTGTGTTTCATTAGGCTGGAGTGCAAACTGCAGCGGTATTTCCTCCTTGCATTGGTCCTGCTGCCTGAAATTAAGTTTCTACCTATAAATCATTTAATTAACTTACCATCAACAAACTAACTGAGAGGTTTTCTGGTGGTGGATTTCAGAGTAAACATCCTACTGTATTAGATTCCCCAAGTTGCCATTCACGGAATTGAAATTGTGAGGAAGATGAAGTGTTTACTCCTAACCTCATTTCCTCATGTGAAATAAATGATCACCATGGTACCTACCAAAAGTTGATTGTGTCTGTGGGAACAAATTGAGAGCACATAGCAAGCAACGTGTATAACTCAGGTCCAATCATTCACCCTCTCACTAAGGAAATACAGATTAACTAATATAACAAGACTGCATGAAGGCTGGGGATGTGGCTCAAGTGGTAGTGTGCTCACCTGGTATGCTTGGGGCTCTGGGTTCGATCCTCAACACCACATAAAAATAAAATAAAGATATTGTGCCCACATCAAACTAAAAAAATATTTTAAAAAAAAAGACTGCATGAGCTAATTGCTAAGAATGTTCATCAGAGTATAACTTCATGCTCCCATATTTTCAGTTCAGAGTCTCTGTTTCTTTTCGCATAAATTGCTATTATCAATGGTTTCCTTACATCTGCCTTTGAAACAGGACTACGACAGGTGGATCAGATAATCTCTATCCAGTATTCATTTTGTAGACTTATTTCACCTCATCCATTATATTTGAATATGTGAACCTTTTCTAATAACAACCTATAGGCATAGGACAAACACATAGAAAGAGCAAGTAGGTCACCTGTACATGTAATATGAGCTTCCTCCTTTGCAGAGCAAGACAGGTGTTTCCAGGGGTCAGAAGGACACTGCCAGAGAGAGATATCAGTTTCCCGACAGTGGATTCCATTTACCCAGTGGGGTCTAGCACCTTCTCTGGAAGGAATCAAGAAATCCAGAGTCCCAGTGTTCCCACAGCCAAGCTGTCTGCAAATAATGGACAAGGTCATAGCATCCATGGGACTGTGGCAGACACTGCCCCAGGTCTGGTTGTAGAAAACCTCCAGCCACCCGGCACACTCCTGGTCCTCGCTCACCAACCTGAGGGCCAGAAACTCTGAAATGGAAAGGGAAACATCAGGGCTCAGTGAACATTGAAGTCTTATTGATGTTTTTTTTTTTCTTTATTCCTAAGTAAAAGTGAATATTCATTGATAACTCTGCTAAAAAAGTGCCCACCAGGTGGAAGACTAGAAGTTATGTTCTTGAAACCTTTTTTTTTTCTAACGTATACCTCTCTGTTTCTACAACAATGTAACATTAGCAAATAAATAGGCAGGAACACTGACCTGGGACTCTGACCAGGAACATTGACCTGAACTCTTTATTTACTATCTGAGGAACTACTTGATAGATCCTAGAAAAAAATCATGGACAGAGGGGTGGTAGAATAGTGGAGCTCCAAATATGTCCTCTCACTGATCCTGGGAGCCTGTGAATATTTTATCTTATTATAAAAGGGCTTTGCAGACATGATTAAAAATAGATCCTTTCATGGATTATCCTGGATCATCCTGGATTAATAAGTGAGTGCAACATAATCATATCCTTAGACCTGTGTCCTCAGAAGCAGATAATTATTTCTGGCCCTCATCAGAGAAACATGTTGCTTGGTGTGTTGCAATGCTGTTGGTTTGAAGAAGGAAGGGGTCATGAGACAAGGAATTCAGGCAACTTCTAGAAAATGAAAATGGCAAGAAAAGAGTCTTCAGAGAGATTCAGCTCTTGCAGCTTGATGACACTTTGTTTATAGCCCAGACAGACCCAAGTCAGTCTTCTAAACTTCACATTGTAAGATGACATATATGTGGTGTTTTGAATCACTCAGTCTATATTACCTTGTTACAGCAGAAATAGAAAACTAATGCAGTGTGTCAGAATGTCATACCCATAGGTCATAAAAGAGTGATGACTGCTTTAAATGGACACTGTCAAGAATGACAGAAAACAAGATTGAGAAGGGAGGAACAGAAGCTCAGCTACTGTAGCAGAAAATGGAAGCACCTCAACTTCTCTGCTGGAAGCACAAGGAGTATTCTTTTCCTCTGCCCTGTCCTGACTGCTGCCTTGGGGCTTAGACACCATCCTGCGACCCTCCCCTTCCTCCTCCCACCTGTGCACAGTGTGCAGCACAGACCTGAGCAGATGACCCCTGCATCCTCCTTGTGACTGCAGTTGTTGTGCCCCCAGCCCTGGGAAGGGCACTGCCACACATGGACCTCCTCTCCTGTGCAGTTCACCTCATCCAGCCAGATGGGTCCTGATCCCTCTCCAAAGTGAGCAGAGATGGTGGCCTCCAGGGCCACTCCACAGCCCAGCTGTCTGCACACCACATGGGCATCATTCAGGTCCCAGCTGTCATCACAGATGGAGCCCCAGGAGCCCTGCTGCAGGATCTCCACTCTCCCTGCACAGCGACTGCCCCCGTCCACCAGGCGGAGCTGTCTGCTGTCTGAGGAGAGACAGGGTCATGTCAGTGGGCATTTACACGGGGAATGGGAAGGATCAAGTGCTGGGGGTTTTGCTCACCTGAGCAGTTGGCAGTGTGGCCCTCTGAGGCTGTAGAGCCTGCTGGGTCAGACCAGGAGTCATTGCACTGGGGCAACAGTTGGGTCTGGTTTCCTACAAAAGTGATTAGAGAACAGGAAACTGATTTAAAGTACCTAATAATCTACTGATGACATCTGAGGTGAAAGCTATAACAAAGAAGCATCAATTTCCTTTCTTCAGAGCTGATTTTTTAATGGAGACTTCTGCTTTTCATTATGCCAAAGTTTTTTTGTTTTAAGCCTATACTTTGAAATATATCAGTTTCTGTTAAGAGCATTGAATAACTCCCAAGGCAACAAGATTTTTGAAGTCAAGTTTAGAGAAAAGAAAAACTACAATCAGCTATATTGCCCTATAGGAATTTTTTATCCAAAGGTAGTAGGAAAAACTCTGAAATCTCAGCATGTTTGCCTGATTTCCCTGGGAATACACAAGTACAATTTAGTTTGGGCCAAAGAGGTGGAATTTTTTAAACATCTTTATAACTGATATCATATTTTGTGAACTGAAAGTAGAGTTTTTCTTTTAGATGATTCCCAATATCTAACCACCTCAATCACTTTTACTTAAGGTGATCTACCCTAAATTAACTGCATGGATGAAGCAAAATACCTTGCTAAAAGTTTCATAGGATGTGCTTCCTGGCAGAGAAATTATAAAAAATATCCAATAAATATTTGAGAGTTATGTATAATTTTAGAGTCAGAAACTAAAAATAAGAAACCAGTAGATAAGAGTAACAACACTGTAGATTAGCACAAAATGAAAATAGTAAGTGGAAGAACACGGAAAAATGCAGAATGACACGCAGAAAAAAAATGATAGGAAATACGATAGGGAACTAAGAGACCTGGTGAGAGACTCCTAATAGTCTACAAGTTTTAGGTAGTTAAAGCCACTATTTTTGTTAAAAAAAAAAATCTTGCCTCTTTTTAGTTATACGTAACAGAAGAATCCATTTTAGTATAATTATACAAGCATGGAATATATCTTATTGCAGTTACATTCTTATTGATGTACATATGGTGGGATTCACTGTGATGTTTTCATTCAGATTCATTCCACTGTCTTTCCTTTTCCTATTCCTCCTCTTCCCTCTATCTCTCATTGTCTACTATATTTCTATTTTCTTCCCCTCACTGCCACTTAACAAACCCCTTATTGCTTCCACAATTCAAAGAAAATATTTAAACTTTGGTTTGATTATGCTAGGTAGAAATTAGAAAATATATAAAGTGGAACATTCAATACACCTGTAGTGTTTAATAATATTCATAAAATCTGTGATACTCTATCCATTGACTTGTGCAGTCCATTCCTCCTTCCCTCCAATCTGGGCTGACAGTGGTGAGTGAGTTCTCTATAAGCAACAGAATGTAGTGAAGCCAGCAAGGCTTGAGTTAGGAACCTAGCTAAGAAAGTCATGCCTCCTCCTCTTGAATTAGTAGGATGTTTCCTTTGTGGGAAATCTATTCTGTAGACTATCATGAGGGAGAGAACATTTGTATGTGATTCTGTCGGCAGCCTAAGTTGAACATGAAGATATCAGCCATGTGATTGAAATATCCTGGATTCCCATCTTGGCCAAGCCTTCAAAAGACCTCAGTTCCAAAAGATATACAAGCTCAACCTCATGAGAGACCCCAAGAAGCAACTGTCAAAAGCCTTTGCCAAATTCATGAGTCTTAAAATCATGAGAAAAATGTAATGTATTTTACTTGAATTGATATCTCGGGGATAAAATTTATTAAGCAGCAATAGCAGCCAAGATTACACTATGAAACTCAGTAATCCTACATTCCCATGTTTGTTGTGGCACTATTTAGAATAGCTATGGTATGGAATCACCCCAGCTGCTCACTGAAAGATACATTCATAAAGTATAAGTGCTATATGTATAGCCATAAAGAAGAACGAAATCCTGTCATTTGCATCAAAATGGATGGAACTGGAAGACATTGTGTCTTAAATAAGCCAGATACAGAAAGACAAGAACCCATGTCCTCTCTCATATGTGCAAGCCAAAGGAGTCCATCAGAAAATAGACAGGAGATTGCTACAGGGTGTAGGTAATATTTGTAGCACTAGATTTGTCCAATTTGGTATAGAAATTCTTGTGCATGAAGTTAAGAAAGATGTGTGTTTTGTGATTAATTTCTCTAACATATATAATTTAAATTTCTACTTTGGAAAAATGTCAAAGCCAATTTTCATTTATGTAGAAGAGACTCAAACATCAATTTACAAGTTTTCTTATTACTTATTTTGCTTATTGCCATAGCTCAAAATGAGAACTTTTAATAAAATTATTGGCTTCTATTCTTCAAAAAATTCATTACGATGGGATACAAAGAACAATTAAAAGTGTTTCATAGTAAGAAACATAAATAAACATGAGAACTGAATGCAGCACATTACCATACATTTTTTTACTGTGAATAACATACTTAGTAAAATTAGTAAAAATATGAACAAGGCTAATACACTATATAATCATGTTACATCAAGTGGATTTATGGAATTTGCAACAGCACTGTGTTTACATATGAAATTCTTGAAAATACTTTAGGAGTAATGGTACACGTTACATTATCCACTGATTCTTAACTACTCATTAAGAAAGATTTGATAAATTTAGGCGTAAATGGATCAGAAGCAGGTAACATAACGAAATAGTGGCATTTGGAAATCTGGTTTAGGATTATCTGGCAATTTTATACTATCCTTCAAATTGTTTCAGAATTATCAATTTAACATTAATAAATAAATTAAATTAAAAAAGGAAAGCCAAACACCCCACACACATATAAAAAATAAAGTTGAAAACAATTTAAAGTCATTCCTATAATATTTCACCAAAATAAACATTAATAGCATCAAACACAAAAACACCTAGGATTAAACATCATAAAGACTATGTATGATCTCTGAGAGAAATTAGAGATATCCTTTGTAAGTCAATTATCTCCACATTCATGTGTAGTCCAAATCCAAGATCAACCTAAATAACATCATCCTTTTATTTGTAGAAACATATAAAGTGGCTTCTAAAATATATGTGAAATGCATATGACCATGCATGACTAATGCATTAGGCAAGAAAAAACACACAATCAGAGGATTTACTCTGAAGTAATCTTTAAAGGAAACTTACTCAGACATGCTATAAAGTCATAATAATTAAGGACATAAGACCTGCTGTAAGGATAAACAACAGAATTGAATGGAACCGAGTACAGAATGAGTAAGAAAATCTACACCCTGTTTATTTCAAGATGACCTTATGGTTGGGAAAAGCCTCTTCCGTAATGATGCTGAGACAATTCGTTGCCAAAACAATAATGTGTAAGTTTTCTTCACATCATACACTCCCTTATAATATCAACCCCAGAAAGATTGTACAGTTATATTCAAAAGAAAAGGAACATGTATAACATACCCTGGGAGAATATGTTTATGCTGTTATGGTAGAAAGTTTTATTTAGGGTACAAAAAATGTGGACAATCTGTGCTTCATTAAGAACTACATTTGACATCTGAAAGATTACAACATTAAGAGAGTGAAAGTAAAAGGACAAGGGTTAAAAATCTGATACAAATACATACATACCTACACCAGAAGCTGTTACCATGAAAATATGTAGGATCATTATTTGGGAAGTCAACAAGCATCAAATCTCAATACCACTTGAATGTATCCATACATGTTCATGTGGTCATTCAGCAGAAAACTCAACAGCAATAAAAAAAAAAAAAAAAGGAAGCTCTGCTACAAATAGCAAAATGGGTAAATACTAAGCAAAAGGTAGAGTCAAAGTAGATACAACAAGAGAAGATACTGTATGATTTTACATAATGGTCAAATCTGACAATAATTTTCTTTGGCAGCTGAAGTCAGAGTGCTCATCTTCAGAGGAAAGGAGAACACAGTGACTGGAGATATGTGCAGGTGACTTCTGTGAGCTGCTAATGTTCTCTGATGGTCCAGGGTGAGAAACTTCCCAGAGTTTTCATTCATTGTTATACAGTGTTGTCTATGAATTGCAATAAATAATAATGCTTACTTACAACTATACCTCTTAAAACCTCTTGACAGGACCTAAAAAAGAAATGATCATTGAGAAGAATCATAGTTCACCACAGAATGTCTCATTTTTGAACTTAGCTCTCCATGCTGTCTGTTCTTAGAGCCATGCCACTCAAGTACCAGCCAGTCCTGACCTCTCTTACCTGAGCAGACCACAGAGGCTGTGTTTCCATGGGCACAGGCAGGAACACCCAGGGAAGACACAGGACAATTCCACAGGAAGGACTCAGACCCTGAGCAGTGGAATCGTTGTCTCCAGATCTCATCTTCTCCTTCCACAAAGTACTCTCCTTTTGGAATGGAGATGGCAACCCCACAGCTCAGTTGACGGCAGACAACATTGGCATTGACCATATTCCAGTTGGAGGCACAGAGTGTTCTCCAGCCTCCATAGGTCTTAATCTCCACTTGACCTTCACACCGAGAGCTGCCATTTTTCATGAGCCGAATATCTGTATATCCTGGTAGAAGACAGGGTTTTAGTAACATCCCACATTTTTATACTTATATATTGTATATGGTAATTAACGTCCTGCTGTGAGTCTCACCTGAGCAGACAACTTGCACAGCCCCTCTGTGTGGGCAGCCTCCTCTAGGACAGGGTACTCTGGGGCAGAACCAGAGCTCAGGCTCCTGCCCCTCACATTGGAACTCTTCAGCCCAGACCAGTTCATCAGGCTCTCTGAATGGGAGGTTCCCTAGGACAGATGCAGCCTTGCCACACCCCAGCTCTTCACAAATGATCTGGGCCATCTGAAAGGTGAAATTCCCATCAGATAGAGGTATCCACTCTCCTCCAGAATTCACTTCCACTCGTCCAGAGCAGGGTCCACCTCCTCCATCCAAACGCACAAATCCTATGGAAGAAATTAACTAACAAAATTAGTATCTTGGCTTGAAATTCATAGGCAATGCTTGAGAGTTTTTCTTTTCCCAGCGTGTAGGGGACATATTCAACAGTTGGTATCAGAATGGAAATTTCCATAGCAAGTATATGAAGACAAATGTAGAAGGAGGAATTTAAAAGGTCAATTCTGAATGATTGATTTAATAAATGAATGTAAATTTATATAATTGTGTGTGTGTTTGTGTATGCAATGTATGCATTTTTCCTTTTTTCTATATTAACATACTATCCTTCAAATTAAAAAGATACCTGTTTGTCTGTATATCTGTCTCTATCAGTCTGTTTCCTTTTTCATAGCACCTACATCAATCCACCGAATTTGAACCCCAGTAGAATATAACTGGGCTTAATTTTCACAATTTTATCCTCAAAAACTTTTTCTTCACTAAAGCCATTCCAACTAACTTAACATTTGTTAATGAATTAAAAAATATTGATATGTATCAAATACTGACAATTTATATTTATTTTCCATTCAGAGATGAGGGAAGAGTCCACTAAATAGTGTGAGACTGAGATGAAACCAGGTTGTTTTGACTAAAATAATCAGGATTTTTACATCATATTTCCTAAGACAGCAAGAGAATTTAGAAGCAGGATCAGAAGTACACATACACACACACACACACACACACACACACACAAAGTTATCAAAAGATTTGAGCACTTTTTTAACTTTTTGTTTTATTTTGTTTGAGGGATTATTTTTTTACTAATAAGTGGAGTTGGAATAAGCCATTAGATATCTATTGAAGCTCATCAGGAAGAGATTTTAAGTATGGGTTCAGACCTTTTGGCAGGCTTCGGGCCACAGGTATGGAAAAGAAAGTAAGTTTATGTCATGAAGAAGTTCAGCAGAAAATTCTTGTTGAAGAGAATAATATGATTAGTGATTATTTTTCCAAAGTATATCTTCAAAATGGAATTAACATCAAAAGTATTAATCTACCTTATTAAAAATTTTACTTAATGCATTATAATTAGAATACTCTCATTTCTCTCTAAAACTGATGTATTAAAATCAAATATGGGTTTGTGACCTTGTAATTACAAGGACTTTTTAATTTATATCATTTTTACAGGGGCGTGATGACATGGTACCTTACTTGGAAAGTCACAATGAGAATACAAAATTTCAAATTGAAATAATTATACTTTCAGATGTTATGTTTTACAGGGTATGAGACCTGCTGGGCATCATAAAAATCAGCTATCAATATTGGTGTCTAGTGACAGAAAAAATAAAGATCAGCCTCCAGAACAGAAACCATCACTGCAGGCTCTGCCTGTGGATGCAGCCAGGTCTTTTTCTCTGTGGATTCTGGTTTCCATTCAGGACATCTCTACACTGGGGATTAACACTACCACCACTTCCATCATGAGTTGTTCATGCTTGATTAAAGTTCTGGCTCAATTAGATACACAAAGTTGTCTTCAGAAGCAGTATTTTTTTTTTCATTTAATTGTATATGGTATATTTCTAGCTCTCAATATAGAATGCCTCAATTGAGATAGGATAACATTACTTTTGAGTTCTGAGACAATTCAATGGAATATCCTAATTGCAGTGTTCTCAGGTTGAAATGTTATGTGGCACATTTTTTTCAGCACTGGATTAAGAAAAACTTTCTATTGCAATATAATACCTTCACAAAGAACTTTTGTATAAATTCCACTAATGAAAATTGGAAGCATTTCAGATACAAAAAATAGATTACCCAATGTAGGTTTCACCTTTGCTCCTCTACTATTCACATATAAGAGAGAACAAATCCAGCTATAAGCCAGAGAGGGTGAAAAGTAAAATTCATAAAGAGCATGTACTCAGACCATCAACTGTCATTGTGCTGAACAGAGATCCTAAGATGTTCAGAGGGCAGTGTTGTTGCAAACTCAACAATATTTTTATTCATTTTTAAAGCTATATTAATTATTCCTTGATTTCTAGGCATTTTTAATGAAATGACATACATCCAGAAAACTCAAAACATTTTTTTTTTCAAAATGACTTGATTTAGAAATTAGAATCATCTAACATCTACATAGAGATGATCACCACTTGTTATTCTCAGGGGTTGAATTACTCTGTTTATTTAATGAAATATAAATAGAACAGTCAAAGCATGATTCAAGTTCAGGTGTTCAGGTGTATATATTTTTCTGCAAACCCAGGTCTCCTGATTCCAGAGGTAGGTATTACTATGGTCTACATAGTTCTTTAGCTAAGTAGGCATTTTTTATATCATAGTGGTTTAGAAATCCTCATTAATACTTTTGGCAAAAAAAAAAAAAATATATATATATATATATATATATATCAGTTTTGGTAAAATATCAATGGTATAAAGGGATTTGGAGATAAAAAATGATTTTCCTTACTCATCTGCATTACCATTTTATTGTTTACCCTTTCATGCATCTGTTTTGCTTATACAAAATTATATTCTCAAATTAAAGTAAGGTGAAACAGGTGCTCTGGCACATGCCTGTAATCCCTCTCAGGAGGCTGAGGCAGGAGAATTGTGGGTTCAAAGCCACCCTCTAGCAACAGCCAAACGCTAAGCAACTCAGTGAGAGATCCTGTCTTTAAATAAAATGTAAAAAAAAGGGGGGGGCTTGGGATGTGGCTCAGTGTTTTAGTTTCATCTCCAGTAACAATAAATAAATAAATAAATAAATAAATCCCCCCCCCAAAAAAAAAGTAAGGAGCTGTGTTGAACCTATTCACTCAGTTTGATCAATCAACAGTCACAAAATCCCAGAGGTCTGAATGTTGAGGTTGGTTTCATTAAAAATGTATAATCATCAATTATACATTCAGAGTAGTCTTAAATCATGAGGAAAAACTATGAAGGCTTCAGCATTACTGAAGAGGCTTAAATTGGTACAATTTTCCCAGAATGGTAATTTGTCAAGTCTAGAAAGAAGTGACATACATCTCTCCCTCTGAGTTGTGTTTCTTCTTTGAGTTTGAGTCATAATATGAAGTAAACCTACTACCTGAGGCTTTACTGAAGCATAAAAATTAAATATAATATTCAAGGTTGGGTCCATAAACCTCATTTCTGTGTCCACTTGTCTCCATGTCCATCACTCTACAATCCCACTATTCTTTTGAGGTCACAGAACTGTGTCACCTGAGTACATGGGATTGTCTCCCGATTGTATTTGCCCAGGCCGTGGTCCACAAAGGTCAAGTGTCTGCCTCAAAGAGCAAACTTGCCCTGTACCATTGGGCTTCCAAGTTACCTTTGAAAGCCAGAGGTGTCAGCAAGACCTGTCCATCAAGGCAGGGGAAAAGGTGAGTGGTCATTAGAGGCCCAGTATGATTTAAAATGCCTTTCACTGGGAAAGGGTAAAAATGAGGCAAAGAGGTCTTCAAAAAAGACACAATCTAAACTTTCTGCCCAGTTCTAATATAGGAAATATGTTATGAAGGCAATTTTGAGAGTCTCCTTCCATGTTTTCTTATTCAAAACATATACCCAAACTTTCCATGTTATAGAAGTGTGGGTTTGGCTTTTGTTTTTGTTTTGTTTGTTCTGGATACGTATATTTCAAGGAAATAATGTTGTTATCTTTGTGAAGCTGCACAGTAGTGAGTACTAAATTTTAAAGTAATTTAAAAATTTATGTGACCTGGATGGAAAAAGAAAGAAAAATTCCATCTGCAGAATTGTATTGAATCATTCTCAATGGAGTAAATTAAAAATTGCAGTCAGATATATGCTTGTCTGATCTTTAGCTACATAGACACATTGCTTCCTTGGGAATGTTTCAAATTTCTTAAAAAATGTGTCATACATGGGATCTTTTCTTCCCCCATTCTGATCTCAGTGACATGACTTTGAGTCACATTTGTAAATCATTCTTCTCCTTTTGTACAGCTATGGTGACCAGGATTCACTCAAATATAAACAGATTTCCTCATCATACACCCAGGGTCTTAAGTGCTGCTCAGATAATTCATGTGTGCTCTTTGTCACCCTTCTGTTGCCATCTTCCATATACTGTAAGCTTTCTCTATATTCTTCAAAAAATTTGATTTCTCTCCTTGTTCCTATTGTTATCAAATTAACCTCCCAATGCACTTTTCTTGTATCATTGAATCCATTAGATATAAACTATATAATCTTTCCCCATATCTTGTCATTTTCCTTCTTTTTTTCCTTAAATTTATTTGAACTGCTACCTAAAAACACAAATAGTATACATTTCAATGGGCAAATAGATGTGCTGTTGTTATTTATACATTATGTTATCTTTGTCTCCTCAAACACTTTAATTCTTCTTGGTGAAAACTTCCCATATGCTTTCTTACAGCTCTTTGAAACATAGTTCATTATTGTTTTGTATAGTCACACTACTGTGCAATGGTGCACTAGAACTTCTTGCTCCTATCTAAGCAAAACCTCTTGTTCTTTACCATCTTAGCCTTCCATTTCTATCCCCTACACTCTCCAGCGTATGGTAAGCACAATTCCAGTCTCAGCTTCGATATGGCCAACTCTTTCAGATTTGATATATAGTAAGATTTTAAAGCACTTTTTTTTTCTTTGCCTGAGTTGTTTCACATAACCTAATGATCTCCAGTTCAATGCTTGCTTTAATAAGTCAAAGGATTTCATTCTTTTTTTTCTTAAAGTGAATTACTTTGCATAAATTTACTTCATTTTATTTTTCTATTTATCAGTTGATGGACACTCATATCAATTCCATTTCTTAGATAATGTCAGTACTGCTGCCATAAGAATGGGAGTACAGATGTCTCTTTAATGTCCCGATTTTATTTTATTTCCTTTGGATATAAGCTCAGCAGTGGATTGCTATATCACATGGTAATTTTTCTGGGGACTGTCTGATATATGTGCTCATATTTCCTGTGTTTGTAAAGGATAGTTTTGCTATGTTCTGTATTTTAAAACATTTATTTATTTATTCTAATTTGTT